CGGCTTCTCAGAGTTTAATAAAGGTATATAATAGCACAGGCCACCCCAAACTGTTTCAATCTTCCTTCCAATCTTAAAGACTGAACTCCTGTATGTTTAATTTAAAGGTACTTTTCCCATGAGCAAAATCTGATGCCAAAAGCATTAATGTGTTTTTAAAGGACATTCCTCAAATATGAATGAACTGAGCCCCTGTGATCATTTTAATTGATCCAGCAGTGCTTGCAGCTAAAAGTAAAGCTGCCACCTTTCATGGCAGACCAGACCTTTTCCTCTACCCCCTAATATTGGTTTTCCTGACATTTTAAGAAAATAGCCGTCAGTCTTGCTCAGTCTGGGATATTTTTATAAATTCGTGATCACAGCAGTTAACTTGATTCTGTCAAAACTGGTGTATAGGCTGTAAGGTACTACCCCATGGAAAGAAGAGAAATGGGTTTTCAAGATGGTAAGTGGTTTTGAATAAATAAAATTTCATTGATGCTAAAACACTTATAGGAATTTATTGGTTTCAGCTCTGATACCTTGCTTTGGATTAAAAAACTCTGACTGAAACCAGATCAAAGATTTTTACCGGGATCTCTCTGCAGGTCTCCTCACACACACACATGCATGCTGATCCACACACGTGCCAATGTGCAGACAGACTTAGGCAGAGCTGCCAGACTCAAAATGGGCATTTCAACACCATTCTGCTTTCATGTAGTCAGGAGTTTTCACTCAGAACCTTACAAGATGATGCAGACAGCCCCGTCATCCTCTATGCAGCCCTAGTGACAATGCCATGTAAGAGCATGAAAAGGGGTTCAGGCAACCCATCCCCTTCCTCTGCTGACTTTTCAAATGCTAAGGGCAGAAAGACGTGAAGATCCTGGCTGCCCATGCCAGGTGGCCCCAAGGCTGTATATATTGGTCTGGGCTTTAAACCTTTTCCCCTTTATAATGCAAACTCATCTTAATGCAGTTCATTATGAGAGGAGCAAGGGATGTGGAACCAGCATCCCCTTGTGCTGAAGGTCCTGAGGCTGAGTATCGCTGCCATTCAGCCAAGCAATAGACTCTCATCAGGGAGCTTGGTTTTGGAGTAGAGGTGGGTGACATTGACTGTTGAGTGTGATCTTAAAGTACCAGTAATGAGCTCATTAATAAAACATGTATCACACTCTAGAACCAGTCTGTACGCGGACAGTTGTCAATACTTATCCAAAGCCACCTCTGAGGACAGACCTACTTATCACATCTCTAAGCCTTGTGCAATCCTTATGGTCTTCATACTGCTGCACAAAGGAGGAGGCATTTGGGAATGTATCCTTTCTCTCCTGCCACCAGCAGCACTGAGAAGCTAGTCTGTCTCAAGCACTAACGGTGAAGGTTTTAAATACATGTTGACTGAAGGCTGAGCAGGAACTGGTCAACATTTACTGCTTCCTCTTAAAACGTCCTGAGTTGCTGCTTTGCAGTCTCTGGCTCCTCTTCGTGGCATTAGGCTGGCAGGACAAGCAACAGTGTTGGAGACCTGGACCAGCCGTGCTGTTTTGGGCTCATTGTGCTAGTATTTAAAGGCTGACCAAATATGAATTGACGTTTAAAGGTTTTGCAGGAAAATACAGTCCTGAACACCAATAGACTCCAGTTTCACCTAAATACTCTCTGTGGATAAATTATTGGAGTTTTGAGTCAGGATGGATCCAGTCAGACATCAGAGTTTAGGTTTAAAATTATTGCAAGAGCACTTTACAAAGAGGATGTCCATATTTCCATGAAGAGCTGAATTACGGCTCTGCACTGACCCACAAATACATGCAGAGTGTCCCTATAGTCATAGAGCGGATAACTTCTTCTGTCAACAATGCATGTGACTTAAGAACATACAACTCTTAAAAATCACAAGGACCAAAAAATGTTAACTCATTTCTATCCATTGAGTAGTCATTAAGGGAGCTGTGGGAAAGGACGGCCCATGGGAAAGGATAATTCAGTCTTTGTGCCCATCTGTGTTTTAAATATTATAATAGGCTGTGAAATGCAGTAAAAATGTCTCAAACATGGCTACATCTCTTCTAAGAAGCCAAGTGGCAAAAAGCAACTAATTTCACAGAAGACACCAAACAAACCCAAAAACAATTTTCTGTCATTTTAGGTCATGACTAGGTTCAAACTTGCAGTGTAGGGGTGACAGCTTGGTCTCTCATTATTTCCAACTGCACCCACCCGATCTGTTACAGCTCTGAAAATACAAAAACATGATCGGGAGTTGTATGGCAGTATGAAATTTCAAAGCATCTGCACTAACTCAGAATAATAAGACTGTGCATCCCATAAATTTAATAAATTATGAGTTTATTATCAGATACCCCCTATGCCTCATATGAGCAACTCCATCCAGTGTGTAGGAATAGAGTACAGTAAGAGGAAAAAAAAAGAAAGAAGTGCTAAAAGGTAACAAATAATAAGGTTTGCTTACTGTTGGTCTTTCTAACTCCAGCAACGGAAGCAATAAAAGTGCATCAATCAGGTCTTTTTTCTGTGATAGGGATGTTCTCCTGTGTTTTTAACAGCTTGCAAATTCCTATGACTATAATCAGCCTGATCCCACTGTGCTCCCTGTCAGATATCACAATGGCTATAATCTGGCACCTGCTTGGTACAAAGCTTGGAAGTGAGGCTGGGTGCCCACAGAATAAAAATTAAGTGTGTTCACTGCAGAGGGGGAGGATCAGAGGGAATTTAGGAGCACTGGTGACAGCCTTTTTTCTTCTCTCTCAGCAAGAGAGTCCTGACTACGACAGGTCAGAAAATGCTGCTATTGTTCTGCCTTAAACCTCCCTCTTCCAGATGCAGAATTTCACTTCCAGAAGCAGCCAGCATGGGCATGTATTCCCAACAAAATCAGCTACCTCCATCTGTCTGTTCTGGAGTAGCCAGCTTGCCCCATTGTCAGACTGTTCAGAAAGCAACAAACATTTTCTTGCCTTTACCAGTTTGCAAATGCTCTTCCTCATGTCTGATTTACATAGGTACATCACCTAGAAAAGCAGTGGGTTTAGATAACCTAAGCTTTTTTGTCCTTCCAAATTGACTGGTTTTCCTCAGTGCAGAATTCAGTGGATCCCACCGACCTGGAACTGCCACAAGCGGATTTTTCTATAGACAACCTGCTTCAGATCCTGGTCCTTCTCCCCTGTAAACTACTGCAGTGTCTCTGATAGAGATATCTCTGCAACTCTATAGAAATCTTTCATCAGTTTAGTAAAGTACAGGAACCTATATTACAACTTCATTCATAGGAGAAAGCATTTTCTCATGGTCTATGTTGTCTCTGAAATTCTCCATTGGAACTGGAAACTGTTAAATAGCAATCTGTGTTGCTGTCTAGCTAAACATGAACAGACCCATGAATTGGATTCTCTCCTAACACAGCATACAAGCTATGATTCATGAAAACTGAGATGAAAAGAAAGAGAAGTGATTTATAACACTAAATAATCTGCACATTTCTTCAAATGCTGTTATTGACACTTAGTGAGACACAGAGGCACAGAACAGCTTGGCTATTCCTGTCCGGCTGGAGGAGCCTAACGTGCTGTGGGCTCTCTGGCAAAGAGATGAGAATAAAGATGGGACGGACGGCTTCACAGTCAGAGGTGCAAAGAGAAGTCAGGAGTTACTGGCTCCCAATGGTGGGCATGGCTCACCTCCCTTTAAGAGTTCAGAATTGTCAGGATCTGAAAAAAGTGGAGCCGACCAGATAGATTGCATCAAACTAAAGAAGGGAATTAAAACAGGTTTTATCTGTAGGTCAGATCACACACTTGCCCGTGCTGTGGTATACTTGGTGTGTGAACTGCCTCTGCCCTGCATTTCATCCTTCTGGACTGGAGACAGTAGCTTGCTCAGGAGTAAAGGTTTTGTGCTGAGCAGGGAAACCAGAGCTGGCGGGTCCAAAACCACAGGGCCTGCAAATCAGGGGGACTGGCAGGTCTGTGACAGCACAGCCAACACACCTTCATCTCAGAAACACCCTTCAGTTAAGATTCCTCTCACTTGCGCTCAGCTGCCAAAAAATTAGGTGTATAGTCCTAGCAGGCTAGGTTCTTTTTATAGTCAATAAAGAGAAGGGTTTATATTCTTCCCAGATCCCATCCAACACCATCCTGAGGGGTATACGGATGGGTATAAGTACAGCTGTGCAGACTGCAGTAGCAAGTCCATTCTACTTGCAGTTCTTAGCACCAGGATATGAATTTATCATCAGTCACAATGAGAGTAGAAACAGAGACAGCGTCTACTAAAAGCTACCTAGGCATGAATATCAAAATGTCCAGAAATTTCAGTGCTGCAGATTTCAATCCTGTTCACATACTGCGATTGATAATAGAAAAATATTTTCCAATTAAAAAGGGTATTATTATGACAAAGCTTTATAAGATACAGACAGGTGTAGTAAACAGTGAATTAACATTGAATTAAGAGTCAATATACAGGAAAATATGGAAACTACTGAAATCCTGTCTATGGTCAGGATTCAAAGAAGTTTGCTCATTTCTTTCTGGGAAAGCATTTCTGTGATTCTAATAAATGTACTATTTTTTTGACAGTATACTTTCTTTTCCTCCCAAAATGACAGCTGAAGAAAATTACAATGAAACAGTATCAAAGGTTGTTCAGAATGAATCTAATGCTATCTAGCAGGCAGTGGAATAAATACCAAAGGAAGCAGCAGCACCATTTAAGCTAGGCTAAACAAAGCATGGAAGTATGCGTCCCTCTGTTTGGAGCAGGGGATCTTTCCAGCTCCGCTTCCCTCAGCGCAACCCGCAGCCTGCAGCTGCAATTCCTCAGTGCAGGGAAAGACAGTGGCTCGGAGGAGAGCCTGTAAATCCCAGCCCAGCTTCAGGCTGGTCTGTGATGGTACAAAAGCAAAGGGCCGTGTCATGGCTGTGCCTGGACCTCCAGCACCCCGCGGAGAAGGGAGATGCCGGTGCCTGCTCAGCTGCGGCTCAGTAGATGATTCCTTCTGGTTCCAGCAGCAAGTACTTCTTCATGGACAGGGGGATGGAGAGCAAGGGGACTCCTCGGTGGCACCTTTCTGACAGTATTGCCCGAATAGCACATCTGCATAAATGCATGAGTGACCGTGGTGAGTTGCTGCACACAGTGAACAAAGAGTCATAGAAATCCTGGTGCCGCTGTAAGAAAACACAAGCGTGTTATAGGGCCATAAGGCTGTTTTCCTTCCCTCCCTTTCCCCTGCTCACACACAGTCCTTGGCAGAACAAGGCAAAAAGCTCAGTCAGCCATCCTGTCCCTTAGAGGCACACCAAGCACCCGGGGACTTGGGTTTGCCAAATGCCTGCACAAAATTCTTTTGCTTGCCTCAAATATTTAGTGTATAAGGTAAAGACCATGACAAAATCTTTAGGTTTGGTATGTCTTATATCCATCGGTTTGAGGTGGAGGTTCCTCTGTGGTGTTAGCCCTGATCTGAAGAGACGCTCCAGCCAGCTCAGGGTCAGTGCACATGGACGAGTTAATCCTCTAACCCTCACCGCGGGGCAGCGCGGCAGCATGATGCCGGCGTTACCGATGAGTTCGCTGGGGCTGCAAATGGCAAAGTACCTTTGGTCTTACTCATCGCCCCAGTGGCCTTTTAAAATAAATAAAATGGCATCCCCACGAGAAGAAAAGTGCAGATGACTACAAACTATGTTGAAATAAAAGAAGCAAATGGTAAATATGTGCAACTATGTGTGACTTGACCTTATTTTATAATCTTGCCACTTGACAGATCTGGTTACACATATATTCAGTTACACTTTATGTATGGAAAAATAAGGATTTGTGTCAACAGAAAATTTTCTTCAATTTCATGTCAGATTCAGCAAATAGCTTTGACAACAAAAATTAAAATCTCAACAAAGAAATAGAGCAACTGTAGATTTTTCCAAATAAGAATGTTCCAAATTTTCAGATAAAAATTTTTATTTGAGGAACAAATACTGTTATTGTTGTTGTTGGGTGAAAAAAGACCTTTGACTTTTAATTTTGTGTTTGCCCAGAATGATTTCTTTTAATGTTTTCTGAACAAATCTGACCCAAAGTAAGTCTCACAATTCCTCTGGCTATAAAACTCTGCATTATAGTACAGATGGAGTTCCCTAAACATCACTGATCATGTAGAGCAGATATTGGTGCACTTCAGCACCGATTTGAAAATTTTGAAAAAGCTAAGTATTAATATAAAGCTAGGTTTAAACTGGAATATTGGGACTATGAGGTTTTCTGAATTAAAGGAATAATTATATCAAGGCACACAGTTTGTCCCACAGATTTGCCTTTTGACAACATCTTTTCCTCTTTTATCTCTTATTTTTCATTATATTCTCCCTTGTATTTGCATCTAAGCAGTCCTGCTCACAGAAATCCAACCCATGCAACAGAACCTAAAGATACATAGTCATACCCATGTAACATGGTACTTTTAAAACATTTGCTGAATTAAAAAATATATAAATATACACATTGACAGATCTGAAGAAACACCAGTCCCAGCCGGAATCTTTGGACTTACTAAGTGCAGGAACAGCTGAGCTGCTGCAACTCCCCTGACAGGGGGAGGTCCAAAAGATTATGTTGCAATGAAAATTTCTCAAAAATATGTCTCCTGTCAGTGAGTGATATGCTTTTGTCAAGTAAATGATATTAAATGGGGAAGTCCCAAATTCTCTGAGAGGTTCTCTTACAAAAGCATTCGCACTTTTCTGAGGCTGGATATGGAGAAGGCAAATAATGAGCTTGGATTTTAGTTGGTTAAAACTCACTAAGACCTTACCTCGAAGACATCATCAGGTATGGCTGCTTTCCACTTAGATGTTGATTTGATGTGTTCGTAGGTATTGACGACAACCTCCACAGCTCTGGGGTGGGAATGACAGGCTTGTAGCACCTGCAGGCAGGATGCATAGAGACCATAAGCACCACCAAGAAGCTGGGGCTAACCTGGGTGCTTGGCACTGTGCAATGGCACGCTGAGACGGACACATAGAATTACAACAGCAGCCCTAGAATTACAAGAGGATAAGGTTGGAGATGCAAAAGTCACAAGCTCTGCCTACACTACTTGGTACAAGTACAGCAAGAAACCCAGGCTAGCCCCCAGTGGAGCTGTGCACACCCCAGTTTGCCACCACACAGAAGTACTGGCTTAGATCTCCAGAGCAGTGTAGCTTGCTGACAGGGTGGGCTTTATCACCCAAATCTGGAGATAACCTGTTCACAGTTGGGTTGAGTGACTTGACACCAGGCAAAGTCCTTGCTCCAGATCATGCAGCACAGGAACAGAAAAAATCCCATCCTATGAATCCAAACCACATTGTTACAGAAAAATTTAAAAGAAGCCTGGGCGATAACACAGCTCAGAAGTAAGGCTTCCAGGCCACAAAAGGCCCCCGAAGCTGCTGCTCTTCCCAGTAACTTTAGCTCAGTAGGGAAAAAGACAAAGTCAATTGTCATTCACACTCAGGGAATAACACTTTACAATCGCACTGTACGATGCACAAATTTGTCCCACATGGCCACCAGGCTTTCACAAACAAAACTGCAGAACATCCCTCTGGGATATATCCTACATATCTTACAGATGGCAAATGATGGTTTGGAAGGGAGACCTGCTCCATGCAAAGGTGGAGGCAGCAAGAGGAGACCCCAGACCTGGCTCCCAAACACACCCTAGGAGACTAAGGGTTGTTCTGTTACAGTCAGGGCCAGCTCATCCAGGGCTCAAGAGGGCACAGCCAAAATCTTGGCATTTTATTCAAAGGCTTCTGGTTGCTCGGCTTGTTAAAACGTTACATATACAGTAGAAGAGCTGCAAAATATTGTTTAGAATAAGACTTGACTACAGCAAGCTTTCTTAGTTGTCTGATATAATAAGACTGTCAGCTACTTCTGTCAGTGTCCTGGGCTTTGTGGATGTTTATAAATTCAGTAGGAGGGATCATGCAATTTTTAATTTTTTTTTTTTTTCATTAATTATGAGTTCAGGCCCAGCATTTCCCCTTAATTTCTTACATTTCCTGTGAATGAGCCAGAACTTTATTGAGGTCCATTTAATTTTGAATAGATTTTTAAAGGTCAGAGTGACAAACTAAATCAACTCATCTGATCGCCAATCTTTGGTAAAGGCCATGAAATATGCATTTCGTATAACCCAGTTAAGTCTGTATGGAGCCGGGTTTGACCAAGGCATGTAGATTTTTTGAAATGAGAAAGTGAATCAACTCTGAAAAATTAGGCTTGAACCAGCATTTAGAGTTTGGGGTTTTGGGTTGGTTAAGAACAAAAATGGGATCTAGGTCTGTTTCCTGGCATTAGCAACTGTAATTTCACTTCAGTTAAATGATACCACTCTTACAACAGTTTGGCTCACAGGGTTCTGGGCCCACAGATTACAGGACTCCAGAAAATCCAGATATCAACAAACTCTGAAGTTTGGATGTCTCATCCCATTCCTGTTCAAGACATCACCATCTCCATATCCCTACTGTACAAAATCATCCTTAACCTTGTGGAATTGCAGAGGAAATATCCTAGCTGCTCCATGATTCAGTAGCAGCTGGTAGCAGATGTCAGGCTGGGCAGCTGGCCGCACAGATGTCACTTTTATGATATACTGTAGGGGTGCACAGCCATTGACATCCATGATGTTTGCTTCTGCTCCTGCCTCCAGCAGCATGTGCAGCAGGACGTGATCACAGTTCCAGGCAGCTTTGTGGAGCGGTGATTTGAAATCCTCATCACGAGCATTCACTTCAGCTTTATAGTCTAAAAGCATCCGACAGATGAGGTGGTGATCCGGGCTGTATATCTGATCCTTATAGTGCAGGGCCCAGTAAGCTGCACAGGCCAGTGGAGTCTCCATGTAGGCATTGAGAGCATCAACGTGTGCTCCTTGTTCCACGTAAAAGGCCACGAGTTCAGGGATACCCAAACGCGCAACGGTGTGAAGAGGAGTCTCCTCATCTTGGTTGTTTGTTTTTATGTTCACGTTTGCTCCTGCAAAAGAAAGATGATGGGTAAAAATTAAGGCAGTGAAATCCTAGTTTGGTCAGCTCTCTGCTTGAGCCCTGCTACCCAAGAAGAAGGTGAGGGTGGGCAACCAGCGTGACTGACACACATGGAAATGCAAATAGCTAGGAATGTGGATTCTGTGTTTCTTAAGCCTCCAGGAAATCCTTAGAAACTTTGGGTTCTCGGATTCAGCTTCAGATGTGATATCTTGGCCCCGAGCTGGAAGAAGTCCTTATCTGAACACTTTATTTTGGAGCTACACGCAGGTCCAAATCTCTGTGTAAACTGCTTTTCTCCTATAAATTTTCTCCTTCAGTCAAGAACTGAATTATTTTTCTCCTTCAGTCAAGAACTGAAGGGAAAAGGAGAGCTTTACTCTTACTCCGGAGAATAGCTCTGCTCAGCTCTATACCCTGAGAACGCTTCCCGCAGCACCTCATTAACCGCAAGCCTAGAAGAAAGGACATTTTCTGATAGATCCATAGGCGATATAAAAAAATCCGTTGCCGAAGCCCGCAGCTGGGGGCCCGGATCCTGGTTTGCAGCTGCGAAGGGGGCTGGTAGCCCTGCTGCCTTTGTGCCGAGCTGTCGCCGCTGGAGAGCTGGAGCAAGAGCTCCATCTGCTGAGCAGCGAGGCGGGGGCTGCTCCCGGGGGGGTGCCCGAGGTGCCGGCAAGCGCCTGGGGGGGGACAAGGGCTCCTCGAACCTGGGGCCTTGGCAAACTGTCAGTAAAGTACTCGTGCAAGAGCAAGTGCACGCCTCTCCGGGCACGCAAAAACACTTACACGGCCAAACTTACACAAAGACTGAGGTGGAAGGGTGGGGAGGGAGGAAGAGGAGTCAGAAATTGCTTCTGGGCCAGAAAACCTGAGTGGCTAGTGCTGTTAAGCCCTGTTGAGTGTTAGTCACGTTAGATAGCCAGAAGAGCATCAGCGTTCAGAGTTTGGAGGTAGCAAACGCCCATGGGATCAGTTTTGCTTGGTTGGCGAGTTGCCCGAACCAGAAGTGGTTAAACTGCTTTCACCTGAACTGACGCTGCATGACACCACTGAGAGGAGATGGCAGGGTGGGAGATGTGTCTTGGGAGCTTTGGTGCAGGGACGTTAACTGAAAACCTGGTTTTGGCTGTCGGGTGGTGTTGCTGTGTGGATGTGCACACCTGCCGTGTTTCGCTCCAGAGTTTTCCCATTTTGTCCGGAGTCTCGGCATTTAGCTCATAGGGAGATTCGAGTTTACTGAGTGCTTTGGGATGAAGGGTGACTTGTAAAGTATTATTATTGTGTTGCTGATGGGTGGGTGGGGAAAGCCTACAGAATACATCCTTTCATTTGCATTTATCCTATGCTACATTTTATAAGAGTACATTTGACTTTTAAGCTTTTCCATGGTAGCAAATTCAACTCCCGCTGTCAGGACTGTTTGCTTTGGGCAGGATACAACTGGCAGCATTTATTTTCCATCCTACCAAACAAAATAGTATGCATCTTTCCAGCGGAAGAAAAGTGATGTGGTTATTCATTTGGGACTGCAGATTGCCTTGCCCACAAAGCATATTTGGGCTCTGCATCTCAGGAAAAACCTTCAATAACAACACAAATAGAAAAAAAAAAAAAAAAAAAAAACAAAAAACCCCAAAAAAAAACCCGAAACAAAAGCATTTGTATTTGCCATGGCACAATGTGATAAATAGGGGAATCTATCTGTTTGTAACTGAAGACTTGAGCTATCTGAGGCTGCTGTACCTTTTATGTCTGACTTTTACTGTGTCCTGAGTCAGCATCCTTGTATTAACAAAATAGTGTGTGACACCAATATATATTATCTTTATTCATAGCTTCCTTTGCTATAGATGACCAGCAGCTTAATGTATCTTACTTTGGGAAAACAAAAATCTTACATAATAGCTTTTTTTTTTTTTTTTTTCCCATTCGCTACATAGATGCAGGAGTTTGGCTGCTGCTGAAGAGACAGTATTAAAAACTGCATCTGTTTTTTCAAGGCCAGGTCTCAAAAAACAAGTGGTTGGAAGAATTTTGCTGAGATCAAGGAAACCTGAACAAGAAAGAAGAGTAGAGGGGTGCACTTTCATGTGACAACATCTCAACAGTAACCTAGATGAAGACAGGAGAAAAAATAGAGAAATAGAAACTCCCTGATTTAGAGTGGCCGACTGGGCAGTGGCTGGAAGCACTGAAATGGGAAACTATCCTGGAGTAAGGGCCAGTGGCCGGAGAGAGGGAAGGGCAGATGGGGTGAGGAATGAGAACGGGTGAAACTTCCTCTGGCCAAAGAGATGGGGATAAGGAGCCCCAGATGAAGACATGGGTCAGCTGTGAACGGAAGGGATAGATATACATGTACTTTGACAAATTGTCTTCAAAGAGAAACCACAGACCATGCTCACCATCTCTGGGCATGCCATGGGAGATGCTTCAGATCTTTACCTTACCTCTTGAAACCAGCTGCTGGGCACAAGGCATGGAGGTTCGAGTCGTACAGAAGTGCAAGGGCGCCTGCCCGCTCATTGAAAAGCAGTTCAGCTTAGCTCCATGGTTGCAAAGGATCTTGAGACACTCAACATTTGCCATTTCACACGCTACGTGGATTGCAGCTTTTCCGTTGGGCCGGCAGTTGATTGTGGCTTTGTGATTGAGGAGGACCAAAAGACTCTCCAGATGTCCATACATGACAGCTAGATGAAGTCCAGTTGCCCAGGATATTTTTAATTTGTAGCTAGGCAGCCAATACCCTGTACAAAGTGAAAATGTGTTACCATTCTTGGAAAAGACTTTTCTTTGGACTATGCACCTACTGAGAATAATTGAAGGGGAAGGAAATGTTGGAGTTTTGCTTTTATTTACTGTAATTTCACCAGCTACAGCTTAGTGCACATGAAGTTGATCAAGCATAACTTCATTTTCATTAAGCACTTTTATTATGTGTGCTGAATAGCCTGCCTGTTGAAGAGATAATTCCCATGTAGATATATTCTGAAGGCAACTTTTGTTTTTATTGTGACCTGTGTAGACTAAATAAAAAACCCAAAAATGCTTAGAGCATTTGAAATGCCACCAGTTAAAATATATGGGGGAAATGGGATCTTCAGCCTGCCAATAGCTGAACAAAGGTGGCATTGGCATGAGAAGTCAGCATTTACTTAGGCCAGTGACTCAACAGATAGCTCATCCTACTCTTTCTGCGTGGGAAATGGCAGGATCTTGTGTGTCAGGAGCTGGATTCAGACCTCCCATGATGTGCTGCACGCAGATGACCCCTGGCAAGGTGGCTGCAGCTGTATCACAGACCTCCTGCCAACTGCTGCCCTAGAGGAGCATGGAGTGAGGAGTTGGAACACTGATGTAAATTATGTTGAAGAGCCAAACAGAAGCAGTGACACTTTAGCATGAAATTTGGGTCCAAAATGTTTGGATTTTTTCTGAAAATTTCACAATGATCTTTTCTGAGTTTTGTACTTACAAACAGGTGTAAGACCAAACAACACTTAAATATTTGTTCCCAAAATAGCACTACATGCTTAATGACTGCACAGAGACAGTCTCAGAAGTGATTACTATAAGCACTTGTTTAAAAAAAAGTAGACCAAAATAGTAATGTGCAGAAGGGCAGGAGATGTCTAAAACTTCTTTTCTCTGTTTTGTTTTTTTTTTTTTTTTTTTTTTTTTTTTTTTTTTTTTAAGTTTCAGCAGCTGCATATTGGCTAGAATGTGCCTATAATTTTTTTCTGGGTTTGGTTTATCTATTTCTCCTTAGACGAATGCCTGGTTGAAAACTGTTATCATGTAAAAGACACAGAAAAAAATACTAAAGGTATAGAATGAGGTCAAATTAGTTTAGACCTTCATTTTTGAATCCCTATCTGTACATAGGTTTTCAACTTTAATGTCATATAGATACAGTTTTTACAGTATTCATGCGTGTTTTATTAGAAAGAAGATGGAGAGGAAGGCAAAAGGTAGATAGAAACAAAGTGCTGGTGACAGGGAGAAACTTGGATTAAAGTTTTTCTTCCCTCCAAGTTAAATTGCAAGTACATTCTGAGATAGATGCCAGTAATGCAGTTTTTGTATGTCCCTGAAAAATGCTAGATTTCCACTGAAAGGTTACAGATATAAATGGACAGTCATGGCAGCAGCTGCACCTCCTGCTCTGGCATGGCTGCAGTGACTTCCTCCTGACCAATATAAGAATTTATTACTAACAGCATGTGAAATGTCAGGGGTGAGAAACTGTCTACACACTACAACATCCACTCTAGGACTAAATTTTGGGGACTAGCAAGCGCAGTGGCCAGGGAACCCCCCCCGCGAATGGCAACAGCAGGCAGCCCTGAGTCACCTGAGTGTGACAGGCTCAACCCTCTCTCAACCTGCTGACTATGCTGGTTACGCTGGCAACTGTGGTAAGACAATCTTTTCATCATACGCCCCCAAACTAGGCACAAAGTCAGTGGGCTATATCCCTGAGTCTATGCATACAGCAGAGCAAGTTTCTTAGATCACCCCCTATCCAAATTCCCCCTGTTACTAGTGAACTGTGGAGCACTGCCGGCTTATCCCACAGGGAGCTGGGCCTCACATTTATGGCCAGATGTGAGCCATGTATGATATGTAACAGCAGGAAAGTGATCCTTAAAAGCCACGTTATCACCTTGTATAGGCACAATATTCCTGCCTGAGACCACTGTTTATTTCCTTTGCCTGTGCTGCTGCATGGGAGCTGTGCTCAGACATCCCAAGGGAGCATCTCCCATCCTCTGCCCAAACCTGCAGACATCTCTGAGCCCTGAGGGACAGGGACTAGAACTGAGCAGGAAGCAGATGTGGGCTCCATAGGAGGCCTCCTTCAGCTTGCCTGTTTTTTTGGTTAGAAACACAAAAAAGCCGTGGCGCATGCAAGGTCAGTGTCCTTGGGAGCTCTCAGCCTCTTTGGAAGAGAGGAAGCAAAGCCACTCTGACACCCATGGCATCCCTTTTCCACCTCATTGCTTGGGGCTATGGCAAAACTCTGGCTGTCTGAGTAGTGTGATGGTGGGGCTTAATTTTTCTCCCCTCTCCCTCCTCAAGGAAATCCCCGTCACATACCTTAGTTATCTGGGATTCAGAATAAAAGTAAAATTTACATGAGAGTTGATAGAGTGCCTCCTGCCTTTCAGACAAAGTGAATATACTGCTGTGATTTCAGCTGTAGGGTGCATTTACCTTTGCTTTTTTGGAGCAAGGAGAGACTTCTCCAAAGAGATAGATTAATGCTTGCAGTCAAATGATCTACAGTTAAAATTATATGCATTAATCCTGTAGTCTCAAACCACAGCCAAAATGCATCTCAGCCTGCTGAGAACAGAAGAAAATGTATTTTAATATACATTAATCAGTGTTTGGCTTAGTTCAGACACTATCCCCAAGGGAAGTATGTCATGACTGCATCACCCTCACCCTAATGAAATCAGAAGAACAGGAGCTAATCATTAAATAAGAGGTAAACAGAAAAAAAGGAGAAGAGCTGGGATGTTGTCCCTTCTTTATGCCACAGAAAAGAAAGTGCATTTGCTGTGCTGCTTGAGCTGGAGGTGTTTATCTCCACATATGATTAACTTCTGGCAGAGGCTGATCATTACTGCTTTCTAGATATACATAAAGAGTCTGTTAAAAAGTAGGTCATGAAGTATGTTGATTTTAGCAGAGAACAAACTTGGTTTATTGTTTTAAGTTGTAAATTTTTGGAAACTCAACCGGTGTTTGGCTGAGAACTGGTTTGGATTTTCTACGCTCCAAAACAGATGTCTTTCCTGGTTGTGTTTTTCCAGATGATTTTTCTGTTTTGATAAACTAGCACGTCCTCACTTTCTGTCAGTTTGAAAAATAAATCTCCTCCCATCCAGCAACATCCAAGATCCACAGGATTTCCTCAGCTCTCCTGAGGAGAGCTAGAGAGAATTCTCTCTACTACTACTGTAAATTTAAAATGGAAGACATTGAATATTTTATGTTTCTAAATGGTTTGGATACATGACTGTGTACGTGCAATTAAGGCATATACCACACTTAGCCTGCACATGTCTATTCTGGGCTTTGCACTCGAGTTCTCTGCGAGGAAATGGCAAAGGACTCCTCTTTCTGGACTCCCCTGAAGCTGTAGCAGCCACCTTGGCAGCACGGAGGCTCAGACTGGTCTCCGGCCTGCCCTCCACCAAGCCCGGTGGGTATAGCTGATAAGCTCCTCTACAGCAGTGACCTACTGCCTATGAACCTACTGAGATGTTACTGCCTATGAATCAGCTTATGCTGCAGCTTCAGAAGAAATAAAAGGCCACAGTTCCTTGAAAAATCACTCAAACCCATCTACTTCCTGGATGGTGAATGCTGCCACATTTACCTTGTTTGTAGGATGCCAGAAGCAGGTTTTCATCTTCCACTTCAAACACCGTGTCCACGTCTATTTTCTTTTGGCTCAAGAGCTCTTCCAGTGCTTCAAAGTCATTGGACTTCAGGGCTTCGAGAAAAGCCTTTTTCACCAACTTTGCAGCTGCAGCTCGAGTAATTTTCCCCTCTGTATTCTCTCCCTCTTTGTATGTCTCCTCCAGATCCATTTCCAAAGGTATTTATTTGTGCTGTGAAGAGGGGTTCACCGAGGTCCCTATAGCGCAGTTGCATGCTGAAGTTCCTGAAGACCAGAAGGTAATTTTATCACTCAGTCATGCTGATCTGCTTGTTCTATTTATATGAGGAGCATTTCAGGCACCGAAATGCCACTCTTAGATATCACCACACTCTTTTTATGAAAGCGAGGACAGACACATTAGCAATAACACCAAAATAAGAGTTATCTCCATGGGCCTTATACACATTAAACTTCATTAACCACATGGTTACCCTCTACTCCTGACACACACTTACATTAAAAGACACTAGTCCAGGGTGCTGTTTCTCAGCCAGAGAAGCAGTCACATTTCCTTTCATAGTTACCATTGCTGATCTGTTGACTGCAACGGGATGTGATTCTCTGCCTGCAGATGCCTTTTAACTAGTGCATTTCCAAAAAATTTTCAAAATCCCAAGGCACTCTTCCTGTGGGAGGTAGCTCACTCTTCCCCAGGACAGCATTTAGCATATTGGTCCTGATTTCATTCTTCTAGCCGTCAGTCAGGCCTCCACAAGAGCCTCCCACCACACAGTTTCTCACAGGTACCCTGATTTAAAGCCCCAAGGGAACATCACGTTGATCTAGTCTGGTCTTCTGTATAATACCCTGAGCAGCAGGATTTCCCCTAGTTTGCTCTGGGGCCACAAGCACTGCGCCCAGGAAGGAGAAATGCTGGGTTGAAGGGAGCTGTACAGCCATATTACAGAGTAGAGGATATCACACACCACAGGTGGCTTATATATGAATTAACTCAGGTGCAAGCACAGGCAGCTGCGTGGGTCCACAGGCTCTTCTTGCCCTGCCCACCCTTCAGCTAAATTCAGACCTCTGCCCTCGCAACCCTAACACCCACTGAATACTCCATCTTCCCTCCCTCCCTTTTCTTTCTGTCTTTGCCAGTCCTGTCCCTGTGTTGACAGCAGTCTACGAAGGTGCAAACCCACACATGGCTAGCATGAGCTGCTGCCACGCATCACACAGAAGCGGTTCACACCTGCAACCACCTGGGCTGATGGATGATGCTACAGCTAGAAGGAGACTATCCACCTCTGATTTAAATCACCCAGCAAAGCAAATGCCACCACAACCATTAAGAAGAAATTTTCTTGGTCATCCTTCCTGGGAGTTTGGCTGCAGAGTGGGCTGATGGGGAAATGTGACCCAGGTGATACTGGAAGTTGAAGCAGCCTCTGTATCTGCAGGGTTTCCAGGGGCCAGGCTCCTCAGGCAGCCCCATAAGGACATGCAGGACCCCCATCCATGGGAATGCTCACTAGCTCTCTCTTAAAGCCAGTGCTCAGCAAAGGTGTTACAGGACAGCAGTTCAGCTCTGAAATTTGTGAGTTCCTTCTACCTATGTACTTTCAGATGAAGAATACTTTATACAAACTACTTTCCCGAGGTACTGCACTTTGTCATAGACACAGTGGAAAGGGAAACAACTTGCTCTCATGCTATAGGTTCCAGGCAGCTCATCAGGGCCTTTCTAGGCTTACTTAAGAGGAGAGTCAGCATCAGGCTCTCCATGCCTTTACATTCCCTCCTGCATGACTGGCTCCCTCTTACTTTGCTACTTTCAGTAGTGGGTGATTCCACTTCATGCTTTAAAAAAAGTGTTAATGCTTGTCTGGCATGAGCAGAGTGACAAGATGTGAACTCCAGATCTTACAGGCTTCTTGTTACCTGCACCTTTTTTTTTTTTTTTTTTTTAAAAGCCACTATATTCCTGAACAGTCGCGGATGCACAAAGCACGGATACGTGGCTGCAATCAATTGTTCAACTCAGCTACACTTTTCGATTTGAAATGGACTAGCTTTTCATCTATCATCTTTCATAAATAGTATTAGATGACACAAGGACATTCAATCTAGCTGAAAGGATCATAGCAGTACATCTCCATGAGGATCTGCTGCTTGAAGGTTGAGATGCGCAAGCATGTTGCTGTAACAGATTACTGCACATCTGCGGATCCATCGTTCTTGCTCTTGGTTGACAAGCAAGGTGAAGTAATTTGTGATGGCTTGGCCCACAGTGAAAGAGAAAGCTAACTAAAATTACATTACATCTGCCATGGTCTATGACCATGCACAGGAACAGCACTTCAGACCAGATGATGCACTACAACTTGCTCACCTCCAGCAATTTGTGTGGCCCTGCTCTGATTCTCACAGAAATTTTTCTTAACATTAATGAGCTTAAAAGAGAAAAAGGAAATAATTATAGATAGCTATAGCTTTTATAGTTAGTGTTTTCCAGTAAGCTGCATTTGGGTCTAATCCTGGCAAACGTACTATTATGAGTGTATTGAATGCACTGGTGGTTTCAGTACAATTGCATACAAGAATGATGAAATGGTTTTATATTTTACATTGACAAACAATTGCAACAAATTAGATTGACTTTTTAAAGCATGTCAGAAGAATTTTTATTAATTTGTCTGAAGTATAGTCGAAATATATTTAAGAATACATAAAGACTGTAAGTCATTGGTGGGGCAAAGGGACCGTTTTTTACTATCTATATTTTTGCTATTCATGTGATTTCCTACAGACTTCTCCCCAACTGTACCACAAGGTGGCAGTTTGATTTTGAAAGTCAAAACTGATGTCATCTAAGCCCCAAAACTGCCAAATATTCTGAACATCTCACTGTGAAACAATAGCTCATTCATTGTTTAATGTAAGTAACAGTACTAATACTTATGATATTTATAGGTTACACTTGGGGCTGCTGTGATCGGCACTGTGCATGCACATGCTGTATCCACTAAGAAAACCTGGCTTCCACCTTTAGGATCAATGGTCTAAGTTACACAGCCAATGCAAAGGCACATTTTTCCATGGAGACAAGTCCTGCCCCTAGGCTTTCTTTCTGATCCACACAGTGCCACACAACACACTGCTGTTCACAGGACAAGCCACAGGCACACAAACACCTGCACCTCGTGGGGACAGGCTGGATCTGCCCTACATAAGTGGATACAGCAGGTCAGAAGAACCAGGTGTGAAGGGGCAGAGCAAGCAAGAGGAGAGCAGACAATGCTCTCGGGGTGCATGCTGCTTTCCACTTCGGGTGATGGGACTGTCGTCGCTGGCTTCAGATGTGCTGCTGAGGACACTCGTCATCAGGGCTATCACAGGCTTGTTCCGAAGCTCACTGACGTAAAGGGAAGTATTTCTATTGATTTCAGTGGGCTGTGTCCTTTATTAGGTTGGGCTCCAAGCAGGGAAAGCTTCCTAGAGGTGAGGGTGTGGACACCATTGGGGTGGTATGATGAGAAGGATGGTTGGTGTCACAGGAGTGTGTATGAAAATCAGAGTTGTGACTGCTCATAGAAGACAAAAACAGCCTTAAGGAGAAAATGAGAAAAGATGTACTGGCAGGCTGTGCAGACTTTGTCTCCTGAGGAGCCAGGGCTCCTCCACTGGTACTTGCTCAGATAGAGCACTAAACTATTGGCAGCTACATAACTCACAGCAGTGCTGGGAACAGCTCAAGCAGAGTTTTGGAGGTGAAACCCAACATCCTGAACTCTACATTGGGACAAGCAGGAAGTCAGCAAAAGGAGAAATGCTCCAAAAGAATGGTGGTGATGCAGCTGGATGGGTGGAGTTGCTCCTAGCTTCAAGGCAAAAAAGCCTGGCAGCTCCTTGCCAGTCTGTAGCAACCCTGTCCCAAAGGCAGTGCTGGTGGGGTGGGTACGGAGAGCAGCAATGGGTGCAGGGTCACCTACCTGCAGCTTTAGCAGGGTTGTTAAAGATGTTCCCCCGCCACGACTTAGGGGATCTTGAAATGTTGCCTGCAACCTCCAGCCCTGAGCCTTGCAGCAGGGTACTGGCACGCTTGGCTAGTGAGGGTTCAACTCTGCCCTTCCCCTCCCTCAGCAGGTTGCTGCCTGAAGTGGGTTGCTTAAGCAGTAGTAACACAGCCTCCATGTGAAGCCATCCGTCCTGCCCTGAAGCCTTACGTGTTAAGGAGGAAAATGTACTGAACATCAGATCTGTGCGCCTGAAGCAAAAAACGGATCCTAGAGTTAATCCCACACTTTCATCTCTTCTGAACAGTACATGCTTGTAAAAATACTGTTGCAATAGTGATCACAATCCCCTCTCTTTGCTGTGGCTCTTGCAGTATCTGCAGCACCAGGCCAGGTCTGCAATGCTGCTGCCCACTCTGTGGCATAGCCTTGTGTATCCCCTGTGTTGCCACATACGTCCCTTGCTTCTTCTTGACAGCTCTCAGTTCCCAAACTGGATTAAACACAGACCTCTTACTTATTCACATCACACATCTTTTTGCTAATATTAATATTGACTTTTTTTTTTTTTTTTTACTACTGTACTTCTTTCTGCCTGCTTTAGCAATCGCTATATTTTATTTGATTTTCTTCTTCCAGGATGCTGAGTCTGAGTGTGAAGATTACATAAATCTTCACCATGCCTCTTGCTTTATTTCTTAGTAGGGAAAAAAAGCTGTTTAGCTGTGCCAGGTGCAAACTGTTTTCTCCAGGTGCTCAGCTGTAAATCATCTTTTGAGAAAAGTCCCCTCTGTAATTTCATCCCTGTGGCTGGTTAACCTGAAACCTTCTTAGTGTTATTAGTTTGGAATCTTTCTCTTGTTCTTTGTTGTATTATTTCACTTCTGTTCTCATTTATTAGGGATAGGGGAAAAAAAAAAATAGTTCCAGATCCTCAAAGGCATTTAGACAAAAAAACCCCAAAGAACTGAAAGTCAGATTCCTAGGAGCTGGGAACCTATATATCTGTAAGAGTCAGGGACTTCTGGGCTTGTTTTCAGTAAAGCAAGTATAATTTAGAAGTGAGGATCAAGTGAGGTGCTTAAGCCTTAAGGTACATGCTTGTTATGAAACCAAAGGTTGATGCCACCAATCCTGAATTCTGTAGTCATGTAACTTCATGTCTGAAGACTTCATGACAGCATCTTAGCCTATCCTTCCATGGGTTTCATTTTGGCTCTGTGCCTGCTATTTCCATCTTCAGCCCCAGGGATCTGTTTCCTT